CACACACACACACACACACGTGTACACCAAACAGGCACGTTAATATTGCCAAAAATATTGAGTGAAACATATCTCAGTGGATATGATCTTTAATCTAACACACTGAATTTTTTTATCACAGAGAAGTAGCCTTTGCTCTCTGTCCAAATAAGTATTGGGGAAATAATTCAGTGAAAAACAAAAGACAAAAATGTAAGATTTATTCAAGGATATAAAAATTCTTGTGTGTATGTGCGTGTGTGTTAATTCAGACCATTTTATGTGTAAACATAAGATTTAGGAAACAAAACATTCACTTAAAGTTTATAAAACAATGGGCCATCTAATGAGAACAAAGAGTATGAAGTTCTTTTAAAATCTGAAAAATGTTGGGCCCAGCCTGTGGCTCACTCGGGAGAGTGTGGTGCTGATAACACCAAGGCCACGGGTTCGGATNTAAAAAAAAAAAAAAAAAAAAAAAAAAAAAAGAAGAAAATAACAAATGCTGGTAAGGATGTGGAGAAAGGGGAACTCTCCTACACTGTTGGTGGGACTGTAAATTGTTGCAGCCCTCATGGAAAAGAGTATTGAGGTTCCTCAAACAACTACCGATAGAACTGCCATACAATCCAGCAATCCCACTATTGGGTATATACCCAAAGGAATAGAAATCATAATGTCAAAGGGATACCTGTACTCCCATGTTTATTGCAGCTTTATTTACAATAGCCAAGAGTTGGAACCAACCTAAATGTCCATTGTTGGATGACTAGATAAGGAAAATGTGGTATATTCACACAATGGAATACTACCATTCACAGCCACATGCATGAACTTAGAGAAAATTATGTTAAGTGAAATAAACCAGGCACAGAAAGAGAAATACTGCATGTCCTCACTTATAAGTGGAAGCTAAAAAATAAATAAATAAAAAAGAAAGATACAACAATCAAAATAATACACTGGACTTTCAAAAGAAGAGAACAGAACTGAGGTTACTGGAGGTAGGATAGGGGGACGGGGAGGGGGAAGGGAGGAATTGGTAAAGGGCTATGAAAATCAATTACATTGTATAATATTGAATATACTAATTATCCTGATTTGGATATCACATATTGCACACAGGTATTGATATTCAATGCTGCACCCTGTAGATATGTACAATCAACTATGTTCC